TTTGAAACAAAGTTAATCATGCTGGAAAATGGCGATTTCACTTAGTTGACTCCAGTATCTTGAAACTTCAGAATTCGCTCAAACATTGCCTACAGGGGTTGATTGTCATGCTAATTATGGACATGTTGCCCGTTACGTTTGACAGGACCTTCAAGTAATGCTATCTTAAGTATATAGTTCAGGGGGTCTTATTGGGACGGCAATACAAGGGGGGGGGTCGTAACCAGCAATCATGTGCCACACTTCTTACTTGACCTTGTTATAACCATCAAAAAGTAGGCACATCTTTTTGAAACACTCTGTATTGTGTTATTTCAAAAGTTCTATCCGTTTTCTACCTCTCAAACTGCAGTATTTGGAGAAACCAACCATTTTCCGCAAACAATGCTTAATCACTCAAAACTTTTTTTCTTAAAGTTTTTCGCATACTTTCATTTTCTTAAAACTTTCTTCATTCTGTGGTTCCGTGCCTTGAAACAGGGCAGCAATACCAAAGCAGAGATTTTTCTTTCAGCTCTATTGCCGTAAAATCTTTAGCCAGCAAACGAAATTTGTTTTGAAACACATGTGATGTTCGCTAGGGATCTGTGCTACGAATTGCGTATTAAGATACAATTTTGAAAGAAATTTGGAAATTTTTTAACATAAATATGAACCATCGTTGCAGCATTTATAAGTCACATAAGATTCATAAACATTACGCAATCATGGAGGTGTTTGCCTTATATTGTGAGATTAGGCCTATAAAATTTTCTTCTACAAAAGAAAAAAGATTTCTCGAGTCAGTAGCGAACAAAGTCAAAACTTCAAAAGTGCATTTTCCGCCATGTGGCGACTCGGTGGGCTCATGGCACCTAGATGTTACCCGAGGCCTGATGCTCGCCCGATACTAATCGATGTACCTAGCCTACTGCGCACCTAACGCGCGACCAAAGGAATATGAGATAATTTAAGTGATTTATCCTTATGGCACTACACTAAAATTAAAAATAGACAAAAAATACTAAACTGAAACAAATTACTACACTACTACTAAAGAAACACGGGACGAGAGCCCGTCCCATGCTACCGATGCGCGTCTGCAAGCATTCTCAAAAATACATGAGGCTCCCGAGGTTTCGCGCAACAAATCCACCGCGCAACGCCAAGGCCCTTAGACGACGGCACGTCCCCTCCAGTTCCTGAAGATGTTAGAATTCCATGCGATTCCAATTAGTACTACGGCGCGTCTGAATGCGCTATCAAAAAGAATCCGTTTTCCCATCCAGAGAACTTCCGGCTCAACTGCTCTTACAAAAAAGGACAGGAGCATGGCGGCTGAAACGATATTCGAAGAAGATATTCAAAATCAATCGATAAAGACGAAGGCGAACAAGGCACCCAGGTGAGACGTCGCCGCTATATATAGCCGCCTGGCTGGCAACGAGCCAATAAAGGAGAGGTCCGGAGACGATCGCGGCAACACGCGTCTCGGCTACCGTAATCGTCGCCGGATAGCGCGGTAACCGATGCCCCCGGCCTCCGTACTTCGAGGAGCGCCTTGCATCGCGAGACGCGACACGCCACCTGAAAAAGAGCGGAGTAAGTGGGTCCTTTTGAAAAAAATTCTGAAAATAATTTCGGAGATTATTGACAGTGCTGCTCATCTGACCATTGACTACCATTTTTCAAAAGAATTATGGTGAATCAAAGTCAACATTGAAAACGGGTAGAATTTGAACCAACCCCGTATTTTCGGGCACTCTGTATGATTTGTTATCCCCCTTCTTTTTTTTTACAAAGGTGGCTGAAAAGACTTGCAGAACTGAAACGCAAAACAAAGCTAAAAGTTGGAAGTGAAGCCAAAAATTCACCTGAGTTCCACATTCCATCAGACAATTTTTTAGGCCTTTCATATTTGCCAAATTCTCCAAAGTGATAGTTCAGATAGTTGCTTGGATTATTTATTTGGAAAATTTCAAGGAGAAAAATAAGAATAGAAAATGCTTGACATTGAATTCTAGCCCCGTGCTACAAAGCAACTGTTGCCACAATATTATTCGGACAAACAATTGCAAAGCAATATTAGATTCCCGTGCTTGAGTTTAGTGCAAAAACTACACTGGAATGTTCTGGAAAAGTGGTAAGTGGATTTCAAAATAGCTATTGCGTGCATGGGATTTGTGTGCTGAAGAATAAGACGAGATGTGCTGATGAGTAATGAGGAATTTTACAAAGGCGACTGAAGTTCATGGGAAGGAAGATACGGTAGCTGCTTCGCCGTTGCACGTGCTTCAAGTCTCGTATAAAAACTTTCGCAACTCTTGCTCAGATCGTTTTTATCATCGTTCTCTTAAGTCTTCGATGTTGTCTTCTGATCGACAAAATATTGTAAAGCTGTTATATTACTCATTTTTGTAGAAAGGGGCGGGGGAGTGAGGAAAGCTTGAAAGATGGTTGAGAGATGGGAGTATTCGTTTCAAATTTACAGAAAAACAAGTTTTGTTTTCCAGGAATGATATCCACGAAAGTCCATAATGGAGGAAAATGGACTTCCAAACCCCATTTTATTCGTTCGGTAGAAGCTGGTCGAAACCTACTTTCGCTAGCGTTATCCAAAAATTTTTATCTCTCGGAACCACGAGGCAAAGCGGTGTGATGAAAATGATTCAACCCTACTTGAGCTCTCGCTTGCGAAAGAATCATGCGAAAAGTCCATTTAGAATGGGGCAAAATGGGATTTACCTCCATTTTAAATGGACTTGAAAGCCCATTTTACTTCCAGCAGCAAGGTGAGCTGGGACTAAGCCCATTTTTGACCTTTTTGCATATTTTTGATGGCGATTTTTTGAGAATGTGTTCCTCAGCTCATTCTAAGGTAATAAGTGAGTGGAAAAAGTTTCCTGTCTTTCATGAAGCCTGAAATAAGTGTTTCTTTCTAAGCTCATATAAACGCTATAAAAATCATGGAAGAAGGTTAAATTCACCAAAATAATCGCTAACAAACTCAAATGCTTCCAAATATCAAGTCGATGCGAATATTCCTATATAAATCGAATAAAGTTTGTTAACTCTCCAAATTATCAACCAAGACTAAATTCATGATTTGTATTTGAGAATAAGAAAGATTTGCGTTTTAATACAATTACTCAGAAGACTGTTCTCGTACAACCGAACCTCAAAGACGGCATTTCAAACGCGATTTTGAGATTAGTCGCAAGAATTACTGAAATGCCGCCAGCTAGCAAGAAAAATTTTGTGAAGAATTTTCTACTAGCAATAGTCCATACATTCAACTACTTAGAGATATAAACATTAATGCTGAAAGACAAAGAAGAGCTAAAGTAGAACATTTGCAATGTCATCCTTTGCGACTCGTAGTTTTCCAATTTAAAGAACCCTTTGGGTTGTAGGGCAAGGTTTCCTACGAGATAAGTAATTTGCTTCACAGATTGCAGTGCAAGTCTAGCCAAAATTTGCTTTCCCCAAAAAGCTCTACGTACGAATTTGATCCAAAGCAGATCCACAGAAGTCTTGAGAAGCGAAGGCCCGGATATTATGTGAATTCTATTCTTGAAGATGTTTTCGATGCATAGTTATCGATAGCAAATGGCATTTTTTGATGTATAATGAAGTGTGAAAGCACAGAATATTCATGTGACTGTCATCGTAATGTTAGGTCAGTCCTAGTTAGATATCGACCACTTAGTAGAAATGAGTTTGCAAGAGTGAGTAAACAGGTTGAGGCAAGTTGGAGAAAGTTTTGCTGAAGATTTTTGTATGGAATGAATGGATTCGCGAATGCGATATCTTATCGCACCGCATGGACTAAGTCCATTTTATTCGCACGAAAAGCCCATTTCGCGGGGACTTTCGTGGATATCATTCCAGGTCAAGGTGACAACTATGTTGGACAATTTCCTTTCTCTTCGTTCCCCTTTCACCTTCATAATTTGCTAAATATGAACAACTCATGCAAATCATATGCTGCAGCAGGCAATGAACCTATTTTCAAAAAATTGTGGAAGGAATTAGAATTCTTTGACCACACCTCTTGTTACGCCAGGTCTCAAGAATTACAGAACATGAATATTTCTATGTCATTTCGAATCTACAACGTGCATCGCATTTACGAATGTAGCAATCTGAGTCATCATATGAAAACCGCGAATGTTTAGAAAATCAAGATCTAGCGATCGATGGTGATTTTTTTTCTAGAGATTTTGAATTTCGATTATATGCTGCGATTTTATTGCTAGACTTGATCATTTATGTCAAAGGCAACAATTTTCATTCTCCGTTTGATTTTTGCGCTCTCGTATAATGCTAAACAAGAAACAATGTAAATCAAACGATATCTAACGCTGTTTTTCTTCTTTTTAGCAATTATGTTGCCGAACTGATTTTCTTCGGAATTGCTCGAAAAATTTTCAAAATCTTTTACCTATCATTTTCGCATTGTGTAACTCTAACACTCGACTAATTAATCTCTCTTACTCCTTATGATGCACTTTTTTCTGTTAAGTTATTTATATTTATAATCTTCAGTTCATAGCTTGTGGGAATTACGATCACATAATAGGATCCTCTCAAGCGCATTATGTTTTCATTCCTAAAATAGCCTTTCCTGACATTCTCCAATGATTTTTTCAAAAGCTCCTAATTTCTCAAAAAAAGTAATGCAAAGAACGTTTACGGCTTCAAAAACATCACGATGTATAATTCCAAACCCATGCACAAGTGTGAAGTCTAATGGAGCCTTCAAAATTTCTGCAATTTTTTGAGAATTGATAAGTAGATTCAGTTAGGAATTATAACTGCTAAAATGAGAAAGTAAACTGCTTTGTGTACTGCCATATCTACTTGAAAGATAGATTTCAAAAGCATACGAATTTTTTGTATTTGACTCGCCCTAGTTTTCTTGAAACCAAGTTACACAGTCCCTCTTGAATAAATTGAATAAAATTTTTTTAACAGAATTTCAATCGTAGTTCCATCGTGAATCTTTTCTACTCCACTCGATGCCTACAACATCTTTTCTTCTATTACTAGCGCTATACTCGGTAAAGGTTTGTTTTCAATTTCATTTGTCTCATTAGAAAAAATACTCGTATGAAATACAAATAACTACTTGAAGTTCTATTTTCATATTAGAAATCGTTGTTGCCCAAAATCCCACTGTTCACATTAACTTCATTAATTAGCAATCGCTCTTACAAAAAGGTGATTCTTGTGTATTTTTTCTCAACAGTGACCCAGCTAACAATTCTTATGTGGAAAATTCAATCTAAAAAAATTCTATTTGACAAAATGATCTGGAAACAGCCTTTACTGTCTCCTCAAAAGACCTAAAACGAAAGGAAACAGCAAGATAATCAAAAAAAAGGAAGTGTAGCAGCATGGTCAAGAACAAATTACGCAAACTTTTGCGATCAAGTCTCACAAATTCAAAAAGGCAATAAAAATTTCTGTACTAAATTAACAATATTATTTCAACGCCTATGAACTCTCAGATAATCGTAGTCTCCAGGCACTTCCCGCACCTACATCCTGCAATAAGTTTCAATTTGATTGTGAAACAACCAGTGATTCAAATCGATGTATCCCATTGGAATTTTTATGTGATGGCGTAAAGGACTGCAAAAATGGCTTGGTAGGTCTCTTTCCTCTTTCTTACTACATTTTTATCTCCTAATTAGGACGAAACCCGCTGCTCCTACCCGCGCAACAATTGCGAACCAGGAGACTTCATATGCCGATCGGGTGAATGCGTTTCGGGAACGTTTAAATGCGACGGGGAGGTGGATTGCCTCGAAGGCGAAGATGAGGGAAGTTGTGATTATTCTAACAGAACAACTACATCAATAAGGTATGTAATTTGCTTTGCAGGGTTTTCAGACATCAGCTGCTTTCTCTAGGGATTTCAGTGTGATGAAAAACCGTTTTGAGTTCCAAAGTCACAAACTCAGCTCTTGTGGACCTGGTACGTTTCTGTGCGCCGACCATGCGAAGTGCGTCTCGATTGATTGGGTTTGTGACGGCGAGAAGGATTGTCCGGATGGAAGCGATGAAACAGGATGCGAATTGTCTGTAGATGACTCTTTAGCTGAAAATGTGACTGAACTATTTGAGGCTGGAGAGCACAGGTCTAACGGGGGCTTTTTGATGCTACATATTGCTCTCATTCTCAATCTTTCTTAGATCTTAGTCTATCAACTGCAAGAAAAGTTTGCTGAATCACCATTTGTATGGGATGCCTTCTCAAACAGTAAAGCCTGGAGCTCTGTATGTTGACGAAAGCTCCAGGTTTTTCCTCCTGCGATCTTCTACACGCTCTGCGGTGTCTTCGCAGAAGTGCCTCCGAACTTTAGAAACAGTCTTGCGTAATGCCAGACTTGTCTAACTGAAATTAGCTGTGCTCACTAGAAATCCAGCTGCAGTCACTATAACCGACTTAGCCAGCCCTAGGCACTTAAAAACACTTGAAATTAGAAGCTCGAAAAGGAAATGCTTTTAGACAGGATAATATTTAATCATGCCAATAGTACAGTCACAAGTTGATAGGAGTAGTACAGGCAATCGATTAATGGACAGGAGGTGATCCACAAATAGTTGACATAGTGTGAATATAAGGAAATGATAGTAAGTACAGAGAATAAACAAAAGTCAGTCAACAAGAAAAGAGGAAAAGAGCACTTTGATAGGAAAAGCAGTCGTTTTGCTGTGAGAAAAGATTTGAAGAGGTCAAATTGAGTTGGAAGTGAACGGTAAAAAAAATTAGATAGAAAGACAAGAGAAAAGTTATATTCAAGAGGTCAGTGTCAAAAAACAAAACAACATGCGTGACTAGAATGGACATTGAAAGATGGGACTGGATTACGAGGCAGCAAAAGTACAATCTGAGAAAAAACTGGTAGTCACGAGAAAACTGTGAAAAAAGCTTTAACATCAAAAAGTCGGCGATCCCCTTGGCAAACCAGTCAATCACTTTTCTCGTGCAACTTGTGAATATTGTAAGTAGCTCCAGATCTCGGATGGGAGTGGATAACATATCTAAGAGCAAATATGGAAAACTGAAGCGGTTTTGTTTACTCGAGCACCCTCGAAAAGTGTTAAAAAATATGACTTCATTGACTTTAGCACTTCATTTTTTAAGCGTTGTATTGAAGTCGTACAAATCAGTACAAATCTATTTCTGACAGTTGAAACAAAGTGAGAGCCACTTCACTTCAGTTATCTTTTCTTCTCACAGCGTCACATCTCGAATGAGTCTTCTCGTAGTTCAACCAATGTTGCTGGTCAAATTGTATTTCGTTCTTTGTAGCTTTCATTTTTGTCCTCATATCTTTTGAAAGCGGTTGATTTGCGGCAAGGTGCGTATATCCTTTGGAAGGGCTGATTGTGCTTTTTAGAATAGGTCTCCTGATATTACGGTGGAAGGCTGATTCATCGGATCTTGTAGCTTCCGAAGATGGAGATCTTGAAAGGCAAAAAGAAACGATTTCGACATTTGTGATTTTTACTTACAAAAAGAAGCGCTTTTGCACAGATTTTTCTGTCGTTTATGAAACATGGCGCTCGCACATCAATATGAGACAAAAAAGGATTGGACTGCTACAAAAGACCAGGGGCTGAGCAGTGTGTCAAACAAAACCGGGGGACGGGTAATAAGCCCTCACTGAAAATTCCTGTACAAGTTGGTGTTGGTCAACAATACAACCGCAGCATATAAACCAGTTCCTACCGCAAAAAAAGCCTAACAGGCAGATCCATTGAGCTTTTCTGCAATATGAGACATGGTCTTATACGGCAAACGTCCTGTCAAAACTGTTCTGCACGATTTGACTGGAAAGTACTTCAGTACTCAAAGTACTCTCCATATCCCGCTCTATCAGATTAACATTTGCTCCGCTCTCTAGAAAACCATATGATACATGTCTCAGTTTCAGTAATTACGTAGTTTGAGCGCTGGTTAGATGACTTTCTTGGGGCCCGATGCGCTGCCGTTTGAAAAATTGAGTTTGAGAAGCTAACCTAACTGTGTCAGAAGATTGTCAACGATGAATGTAAATTTGATTGATTTCTACTGTAAATTGACGATTTTGTTGGTTTATAAAAACGCTACGAACTTATGAAACCGCCTGATAATACCTTGAATTCTGAAGAGCTGCAAAAGGCACACGGATGGCGATATGGCGAAAGCTATGACTTCATCCTCAAGTGCCTCCACCTTCCCGTGTAGTATATTGTCTAAACTGCATAATGACCGTAGCCGGACATCAGCTTGCGCGTCTTGCCTGGATTCGGTATGTGACGCCATTTCCATGAGTAACCGCACATTCTAAACTAGCAATGTACCTAAACGCGACCTTTCTACGCTTTGTGATATTTTGAAAAAATTTTGTTTGTGCTCACATAAGTAGTGAAGCGTTCTCTGGAAGAGTGGAGGGTTCTTTTTTGCTAATAAGGTAAATCTGAAGAAAAAAACATTATTTTATGACAACCTTTTGAGAAAGACGCATACAGAACTGATGAGAAGTCGAATACCTACATTTTTTCTTCGCACGACCGATAGCTTTTAAGAAGCACTACGCTATTTTCATATACAGAGCTATCTTGAGTCATGTTTGACTAACCAAAGATTGGTGCTGGTGCGATCGGTTTCATCATCTCTTGGCTGTTTGTGTACATAGGAATTTAAATCGACAAGGCTCACTCAACCGCGGCGATGCAGAGCTCGTTCACTGCAATGCAAATCTCAATTCCGGCACTGTCAATCCCCAAAACAGCAGAAAACTCAACGATAATTTGCTTCTTTTAAAGTAATGTTATTCACTAAGTGGAAAGAGTGAAATGAGTTAAGCCAAAGAAAATATTAAATGAATACGAAAGCATGATACTAATAAACAAATGATTCATTGTAAATAATCAAATACAATGAACGTATTCACTGTATAAGTACGAGGAGAAAGAAACTAGTGTATGCGTCACACAAAAGCCGAATCGAAAGGTAAATTCCATGTTCTCGAAATGCTCACTTTTTGATCCGCGCAAAAAATTGAGAAGTCAGATGAAGGAATTAAAATAAAGATTTTGTGCTATGTTGTGCTAGAGCACATGGTAAAAAGCTCTAATGAATTTTATCAAAAGGAAGCAGACTAACTATGTATTCGACAGTCACATACTGTATTATAGAAGGTATTGGACTTACACAATTACTGAGGAGGTTAGGTGGGAAGAAATGTGTAGCGGATGCATTTTTCATCAAGCGAAAATACTTAACATGATATGAAGTAACGAGCGAAGCACGTCAAAAAAAGATCGCTATTTTTCTTTGTGGTAAAAAGATGGAAAGGATGTTTGAATTACACCTTGACACCAAAGAACTTCAGAAGCCCTCATCGCATTTGTTAGCAAGCAAACGGTTAATGTAGCCGTATCTTACTTCCACTTCCGTCAATAGACGTTGACTGTGATCAATATTTAGCGTAGCTCCCAAGAAAACCACCACGAAAGTCATGCTGTTGACTTCACTTGGCTCGATATGCTATGTATTCACAACGGCAACAATCTATCATATGATAATAGATGAAAGCTTCGTAGAATTGTCAAAATGTGCCCGCACTGATGACTGAATAATATAAGAAGCTGCATTTGCGCTTAGCGTAGATTTTGAAAAGAAAAGCAAATGGCTCAGCATGAAAACAACGTATACTCTTACATTATTCTGCAATAGCTGAATTTTACAAATTCTCGGCTTCTTGGAAGCACCGAGCCTCTTTCCCTGCAACGTTTTTCGGAATTTGCAAAGACGCCGCAAACTTCGTGCTCAACGTAGAGGCGTTTCGGGTTCCGATTTTTGTGACGTCACGATGGACTGCCCACGCTTCGCCTCTTCTAAATATTAGGTTGTCCCATAAGTCTTTTCATTTTTGAATTTTCGCTATAAAAAGTCACACACTTCTTACTCTAAATAGACATCAGGATACCATTCGATAGAGCAAAGCAAGCTCTATAAGATGGCGTTCACGCTTTCGCAGAAGCTTTAGTCTATCTCGAGTTCTAAATCAAAATCTAGAAAGTTTCGGATGGCCAAAAAACCGAAAAAATTTTATATCTTCCTTCAAAAAAATCCTACAAACCTCAAACTTGCTCACGTATATGCATTTCACATCAGACATTCATATGTGCTGTTGCTGCATTTTTTATCACCTAGAAATCAAGAAACCGAAAATTTTCATGTTCTTACCAAAGTGATGCTGTGCTGTTCTTACACAAGCAGTCGCATAGTAGAAGCCCTCAGAAGTACTGCAGTAGATTTTTGGCTCTCTATATGCTCTAGTTCACGAGAAATATCAAATTTAGCTTTCTTCACTTGGGTTTTTCACGCTTAAATCAACATTTCTCGGAAACCAGAGCTTATATAGAGCTAAAAAATTATAGTTGTACTTCTAAGGGCTTGTAGTATACAACTGTCAGTGTAAGAACAGCACAGCATCACTTTGGTAAAAACAGGAAAATTTTCGGTTTCTTGATTTCTAGCCGATAAAAAAATGCAGCAACAGCACATATGAATGTCTTATGTAGAATGTATACACGTGAGCGAGTTTGAGGTTTGTAGGATTTTTTTTGAATGAAGGTATAAAAATTTTTCGTTTTTCTGGCCATCCGAAACTTTTTAGATTTTGGTTTATAACTCGAGATAGACCAAAGCTTGTGCGAAAGCGTAAACGCCACCTTATAGAGCTTGCTTTGCTCTATCGACTGGTATCCTGATGTCAATTTAGAGTAAGAAGTGTGTGACTTATCAAAGCGAAAATTCAAAAATGAAAAGACTTATGGGACAACCTAATATAATGATCGAAAAATTTATAAGAAATTGCGCTAAAACACAATTTTTAGCCTGAAAATCCGCGCCAAACATAGCACTTTTTCGAATAAGGTGTCTCTTTATACGAGATATTGGGGAATTTCCGTACGCTCAAGTTATCATTAAAAGAGCTTGAGAAGCTCTTTCCAGATATGTCATATGTCTAGGGACTTCGGCGTTCAGCAGCACAAATTCGGATGGCGCTCAAAAAAGTCTTCCGACTTCTTCAAAGCCCCGGTCGAAAGATTATGGGGAAGGTACTGCAAGGTGCTGTTGGGACAACCTTGGAAGGCCGCTTTATACGTTAAGCGTTACAGCCTTACAAAAGCGTTCGAATTGTTGGTTGTTCACAGCTAGTCAGAAAAACACCTCAAAAAATATTCAATGGTTAAGATGCCCAACTACTTTTGTCACCCCTTACGATAAAACTGATCATTTTACTATAACGTTAAAAGATTCATTTATTCTACGTCAAGTATTTCAATTAGTATAAGCGCTTCCCATGTACTTTGAGGAACTTGTTGAGTTTCCATTTTGGAGCATTAGTTTTCTTACTCTCTAGCTGCCAAAGCTGCCACCCGCATACCTTGGCAAACGTTAGCAAAGCTCGGCCCGCTATACTGTGGGGAAAGAACGATACCAAAAAGCATCTATTAGGTTGTCCCATAAGTTTTTTTATATTTGACTTTTTACCACCATAAACCTACTCTTCTCGCTTTTATATTAGGATGCGGAGCACCATTCGAAAGACCAAAGATCCAAAATCCGGAAAAAACGAAAAAGGTCGTATCTCAGTTAACAAACATTCTGCAAAGTTCTCACTTGCTCACGCGTATAATTTCCCCATCAGATATTTTTTTTTTACACTTGATGCATTTTTCTGACTTCTAGAAGTAAAGAAAAAATAATGCGCTCGATTTTCAAATTTTCCTGTAAAGGTCTATACCTCTTGGAAATATGTGATTACATAGCTTATACACTCAAGCATACTCCCACAAAATTTCACCCTTGTAGATGCCTTAGTTATCAGTTTGAAGGTACGAATATAAAAGACTTGAGGTGAAAACCTAACATATGTACAAAAACTCTTATAATAGCAAAAACATGCACATATTTAACTGATGCAAAAAAAAACCACAGCTCAAGGATATCTTGATCAAAAGATGGATATAGTATTCATACAATATAAACCTTTTTTTCAACTGCCTTAACAGAAATTCATTTATATACAACATATTCAATTGCAAATCCATAAAATCATTAGAATCAAAATCATCATAACTTGCAAAGGCGCACACATCAATTATGAACCAAAGGCGCACACATCAATTATGAACAACCAAATATATAAAACGATGTTATAAATGAACAGTGCGAATTGAAGTTATGAATATGAATTACTAGCTGGCTTACCCGGCTCCGCCGTATGTTCCGAATAGAAAATTCCATTTCTTAACCGATCCAGACCAAATCGATATCGATCGATGACGAAAAGTGGCCTATGGCACCCGCCGGGGCCCGATGTGTATGTGTGCCAAATTTGGCCCGGATCGGTTCAGAAATGGAATTTTCTATTCGGAACATACGTACACACAGACAGACAGACAGACAGACAGACATACAAACAGACATTCAGCTTTATATATAAGATGAACCAAAGGCGCACACATCAGTTATGAACAACCAAAAATATAAAACGATGTTATAAATGAACAGTGCGAATTGAAATGAATATGCACCTCTGCTTCGCAAAGATTCGCACTGGTTATGCTGTCCTTATGCCTTGCTCATTCGCGAATGGTGACCTTGAAACTCACCGCGCAATGCTGTCCATCACAAATGAGTTGTAAACAATTACTTATTTCAGACCCTTTTCCATGTGAGATCGGTAATCTCGCGTGGACGAAACTTTTTGCAGATGTACAATTTTAATCAGTATTTGAGCTTTCAATGGCTGGTAGTCGCCATAAGAACAACAATCACCGTGAGCTTAATCTTTGTGCAAGGATCTTCTCAGATGCTCAACTAAAATCCTGTCAAATTGACTTTACGCAACCAAATCCTTTTGATGCCGTTTTCGTGGAGTAATGGATCGAATTATTTTTTGAGATAAATTGCATGGCTTGCACATTAGCTTGTTGTAGAGCCGTTCCTTATATTGGAACTTGCTCGCTCACTATAGGCTAGGTCGATATGGTCTCTGTGGTTGCGGCGTACCCGCCGCACCTTGGTATATTTGTGTGTGTTGTTCTCTAGTTATTCCTAGTGAACCCTCGGCATGTACGCCGATAAGCAGAGGGGGAACTCTTGTGTTTTTCTAATAAATTGTCAACGGCTTAACGCGTTCCACATCAACTGACGATCAGGATCAAGGACAAGAAGAGCTCCACCACCAACTGAGAACGAGAAGAAGCTCCACCGCCGACCAAGGAGAAGAAGAAGCCTTCAGTCGACTTCAAGGACGACTTCTCCAGATAAGTTCCATTTGAAAGCTGGTATCGATCGACGAGAGGGAAGAAATCTCGTCGTTGCAGCGGAGCCATGCCGAAGGTTGCAGAAGAGCGGCATGCGGCGGATCTGGAGAAGGTCCTCAACGTCATGATGGAGCAGATGCGTCTTCAGCAAGAAGAAGTTCGGATCCAGATGCAAGCTCAACAGGAGCAAATGAGGATGCTGATCGCTACCCTGGCCAACAACCAGAGTGTAGCCGTACACGATGCCAGCAAGGATCAATACGATCAGCTGAGCAAGGATGTACAAAGGTCCGTCTCCGATGAAGACACAAGTAATATCTTTGCCTACTGGTACGGCAAGTACGGACCGGTCATAAGCGAGTCCTTGTTGCCAGACAACAAGAAGCGTGACCTGGTACTCATGAAGCTGGACGAAGAATCATACCGGAAGTATGCAGATGAGATCCTGCTGCAAAGCCACACGACTTGGATTTTAGCGCAACCATCGAAAAACTTCAGAAGCTGTTCGCATCCAAGAAGACGCTGATAAGGAGAAGGTTCGAGTGCCTCCGCGTCACGCCCACCGCTTATGCCGACCTATGTACCGTTTCGAGAATACGCAAACACAATCAAGCGGATGGATGAGGACGCTCGACTCAAGGAGCTCGACTATACTGGAATGAAGACGCTACAATTTGTAGCCGGTCTTCAGGACCCGTCATTGCGAGACGTCCGCCTTAGGATGATTCGCCGATTGAATGCACATACGGACGAAACACCGCTGACAATCGAGGACTTGGTCAGCGAATGCGAGAACTACACCGCGTCGAAGATGGACAACACGGATATGGAAGGCACCCGGGATGTTCATGCGGTGTGGAAGAAAAAGGTAGAGTGTTTCAGATGTGGAGGTCCGCATTTTAGCAGGGACTGTGCACAACTCCCTAGAACGGGCCGAAGGAAGCGACGGAAGACAGGGACTCAGCCCTATGGTCGAAGAAGACAATGCAAGAACGTGGTTGCCTTCGACGCCGAGAACGCCCGCACCTATCTTGACGTTGTTGTCAAAGGATGTCCCCTCAAGCTCCAGTTGGACACGGGTGCGGATATAACGCTGATATCTCGTAATGTCTGGAGGAGGATAGGATCTCCAGATTTAGAACCGTGCGTGATGCCCGTCAAAACTGCAGATCGGAC